AGTAAAGAACTAGAACTAGTTATAAAAATGTGATGTTGGGTCATCCTAATGCCTCCCAGAAGTCACCCAAAAATGTAGCTCTTCACTTTTGAACACTTGTGAAGTCTGCGTGTCCATGGGCAAAGAAGAAAATTCCAGCTGCATCTTCTGCTCTGTCAGACATTATTTGCCAAGAAGGGTTTGCTAAAGATCTGGCAGCTAGGATTGCAAAGATACAGGCCTCAAAGTTCAGTTGCTTGAGGTTCTGATATACTCAGTAGGTCTGATCCTGTTCTCATTGAAGTCAGTGATTTTGCCATTGACTTCAGTGAGAGCAAGAGTGAACCCACTAAATACTAATTTTGAGTTCTTAAAAAACAGCTTTTTTTTACCTTTAAAAGCTTTTAAACAGAGAGATGTTAAATTTTCCAGTGAAGATGGGTGTTTAATTCATTCAGAATGTGAATGTCATAGTCTTTATTGATAACAATGAAACATTTATTAGACGACTAGTTTGTAAGGCCTGATTGACCGGGGACTTACACCATTTTTACATTAGGACTCTTTCATGCAGACAGAGTCAAAGCTGCCCTAATGACCCGCAAGAAATGCCCCAAGCATAGGAGTCATTTCTGGATGGCATGGGATTGGCAAAGCTAACCCTGTGCCAGACTTCTGCAGGTAGGCAGCATGCCAGAACAAAGGAGTCATGGCCAGGGCTTTCCTATGCCTCCGCTATTACTGGCTGAGGGAATGGCCCATCAGGGCTATAGACAGCTAAGTGCAAGTGGGTTACCTCTTTGGCTGTTCCAGCTTGTGCCAACAACCCAGCATGGTGAAAGCACATAGGTGACAAAGTTTTGCCTCATGAATACTTCCTGGTGCTTGGTCCAAGCTCAGAACTGGCACAGAGATTAATATGGCTCATAGTATCTGAGTGCATTTATATGGTTTAGCTTAAACCCAAAAATACTTTCCCAGTATATGAAGCTAATACCCTACAACTCCTACTACACGGAGCTGAAGAAAACCTTGTGGGGTAGCCTAAAAGCAGATACAGTCACTTCTCCCTTTTGCAGTGGTTTGAAAAAGCTTTCCTGGTTCTGTCCTCTGGTGCTCTTTGAATTCCATCTCGCCCTCTTGTGTGTTGCCCTTCTCCACAAAGTAGATGTGGGTGCAATCACTGTGCGATTATAGAGCCATTAAAGATTACCCTTAAATGAACTGAATCATTTAGGAAATAAAATTGCTTTCAAAATTATTTTTCAGGGGCTTTGGAAAGGATTCAGCCTCCTCATTTCACGCTTTCCAAAGGGATTGACAGTTGCATTAAATATACTCCTCCCCTTCAAATGAAATCACCTTCTGTCCCAACCCCACATGAGATGAAAAAAGAGATCCTTCTGGTCTTGGACTATACAGTGTCTGCATCAAAATCTCTACGTCCAGTATTATTTACTGAGCATTACAAATCAAATGTTTAATTTTCCATCAGTGCTTCTTTGGCTACGTAGTTCTGCCTGTGGTATTAGAAGTAGATTAATAACATTTTCTTTCTTTATGGCTCTCCCAAGTAGCCTGTAACCCCTGAAGCTCAGAGTATGACCTACCGCATAAAATCCAAGTTCTCATCCCAGTTTCCCACATTAGTGTAAAGCACTGATCACTAGCCTGGATTGGTACTACAAGAAAATCAGTTTATTGTTTTATGTGTTCCAGGGCCATCACAGTAGAACCCTCATTTAGTTCCATTCAGTACAATTATTCAAATGGGAACAGGAGGTGCATGTGTGTAAATGAAGGGGCATGTGTAGTGGCGGAGGTGAAAGCAATTGTGTAGATTGCTAAATGGGGCTAAGGTGCATGTTATTTCAGATTGGCTGTGGACTTCTCTACTACCGCTGTCCTACTAAGACATTCACTGGTACTCTGAAGGCTTGAGAAGTTGCTAGGTCACAATTAGGCCCAGCTGTCTGGGAATCAAACGTGGACTGAAAAACCCTATTGTGTCTTTGTTGGTGGCACTGAAATAAAAAACAGTTATTACATTAATTCATTTTGTGTGATATCACCTTCCTTCCCATGGCAAATTCCAGGGTCCTCATAAAGCAGAATATTTTCAATAAAACATCAATTCTTAAAGTAACTAAAAAAGAGCACAAGGAAAGACAGGGTTAGTGAAGTACAGAAACCATACAGCACTGCAGAGTTCTGTTTGTTTTGTTTCTCTAAGGTTGCTCCACTATTAAAAATCTTCTTGATCTGGCAGTTTTTAACCTGGGATTTTTGTTGACATGTTATAATACATAGGTTGAGGTGTGTACATCACAAGTGACAAT